CAAAGCTGGGGATGATGTGTCCCTCAGCAATGGGTGATAAACACAGCCATCAGGAGAGAGAAGGCTGCCCGGGATGGGTGCCTGGAAGCCTGCTGGCCTCTCACAGGCAACAAAAAGCCTGCAGGTCAGGTCCTCAGGGAGCCTGCCCCAGGCCCACAGCCACGTCACAGCTGATGCAAACATTTTATTGCTGTCTTAGCTGTAGCTGGTCAGTCAAGAAATAGATGACTCACCCCAATTAGATCATTTGCAGAGGGCTGATTTACAAAGATGGCTGGCATGGGGACCACAAGGGACAGGGATGTGACTGGAGTGGGCATGTCAGAGAAGCCACAATGAGGAGGCCTGGAGAGAATAGGATGGAGGGTTTGAACCTGCAGGAATCATCAGTTCTGCAGCCCTCACAGGTGGTGAGCCCTGTCCCCCTCTTCTAATCTCCCTGAGAGGCCCTTAGGGAGAAGGAACCAGGGCAGCCTCCTAGCCACAGGCAGGTAAATGTGGGAAGAGTGTGGGTCTGGAGAGTGAAGGGCAGGAGCCAGTGTCAGAGCTTCCACTGACCAAGCGTCATGCCCATTGGTCCACTGCACAGATGGGAACACCAACTCTCAGACTCCCTCTTCCCCTTTTAAAGTAGGTGGAGTACATGATTTTAAGTAAAGTCACACGCACACTCCCAGGGGCTGGCAGTATCCTTGACCCCACAGTGGGAGGGCCTTGGTGGCAGGTCACCCCACTTTGGGAGAAGATGAGGCTGGGCAGTATTGGGGTTCAGGGTCAAGAAGGCCATGCATGCTGTGCTGCAGGGCGTGGGGACTATAGCAGGCACTGCTGGAGACAATGTGAGTGGGTCCACCTGTGGTAAGGTCTGTAGCCGGCAGCTAGAGAAAGTGGGAAAGGTGTAGGCAAGTCAGGAGGAAGGGGCCCCCGACAAGCACAAGACGACTCAAGTGAGTTATTTGAATGCCTGAGAACAAAGTGCGAGAGGGAGTTTAAGCTGTCCATTTCCTTTGGCACACATCACCTTCCACAACAGAAGGCATTTTCCAGGAGGACAGAATAGGATCAAGGATGGGGCTCCCACCTGCAGGGTATGTTGGCCCCACAAAAACAGAGGTCAATCCCATGTTGCCATTAGAAAGGAGGCTATTAGGAGGTAAAATGCCAGCCAATACTCCTTAGGGCCATAAACCAGAGGGAATGAGGTTTAGAAATAACACCTCACAAGCTAAAAACAAAAGTGTGAGAGCTGAGGGTGTGAGTGGCTTCCCTTTCTGCAAATGCCCACATGCAGGAATCAAAGAAGTGCCTTGCATGGTGAATGGACAGGCCATCAGGGCACACAGCTGCCACGACCTCAGGTGGGGACACCCAGGAGGCTGAGTTCACCCCCTGAGCTCCAACTCTCCCAGTTTCATTCCTTCTATTGCTAACATGGAAAGGTGATTCTGTTGGGAAAATGTGGGTCATCAGGATGCTCTCCATGCCAGACCAGGGCTGCCTTCTTGCAAAGCAGTGAGTCTCATCCCAGTTTGCCTGAACTGTCCCTATTGCAGCACTGAGTGTCCCAAGTCCTGGGAATCCCCTCAGTACTGAGCAAACTGGGACAGTTGGCCACCCTGGTCTCGACCTTGCCTGCACACTGGAATCACCTGGAAGCATGAAAGGCACAGAAGCCAGGTCCCAACCCAGAGCCTCTGACTTCCCTGGCCCAGGGTGTGGCCTGGGCATCAGGAGTTTTCAAAGCTTCCTGGCAATTGGAATGTGCCCCAAGTTTGAGAAGTCCTGCTGCAGAGCCATCTGACATGGTGCAGTCTGTGCTGATGAGACCCACATGCCATTCCAAGTAAGGCCTCTCAGCATGCCTGCAGCACACTCACTTACAAACCATGGGCTGCATGTGCACACTGGGGTGTAGATAAGTCTAGATCCCCAGTTAGGGCAAACAAACAACATCTGCTTATTCCAGCCAAGAAGCAAGCATCTGCAATGTCCTCCTGTCCCTACCAGGAGATGCCAGGTTGGCTCTGTTCCTTGGTATCTCCTTTCCTTCCCCACCCACCCCAATGTAGCAGTCAGAGCAGCTGGAAACGTGGCTGCTGGGGGAATCCAGTAGGCCTGGCTGACCCTCAGCTCATAAAAATGCACATGCACACAGTCCTGCTTTCAGCATCAGGGCTTCACAGACCCCTGGATCCAGGACCAGACCCCTGCACTCCTGCATAGCAAGAAAAGCCTGGAGACTTAGCCCAGAAGTTTTCAGTATGGAAATATTTCTTCAAGGTTGCACCTCAAAGGAGATACAAGCTGATTTGTAGCCACAGGATCCATTTTCTGAAACAAAGGATGTGTGTCAGGGACCACCTTTGTTAGACCAGGATGCCCAGTCTGTGGAGTGTAAACAGCATCGCTACCTCACAGGAGCTTCTGCAAAATGCAGATGCTGAGTGGCATTGCTGAAAAGCAGCCTGCTTGCCAATGAGGCTCTATCTGTTTGCTGTTTCTGATACATCTCAGCAGATAGCATCTCCAACACAACACACTTCTGTTGGAACAGTTGCCCTATAACCAAACAAAACGTAGAGGGTGTTCCCAGCTTGCACTGTGAGAGTAAACCATGGAGCTTGATTCCCCAGCTGACACTTCTGGGCTCCTGGGGACTAGAGCACTCGCACCATGGGCTCAGAACCTGCCAGAGGGGATGTCTGCAGAGATGGGCCAGAGCTTAGGTCAAGGCTACCCAGTGCCACTACCTTCCTTACACAGACCACCAGAGAACCCAGGAGGGTGCACCTGGTGCCAGTACCACCTGGAAGCATTTGAAGGGAGCTGATCTTGTACAGCCCACTCGGTCATTCATGAAATGTTCAGTGAGTTCCTACCATCCACCCAGGCTTCAGGCAGATGGTGTGGACAAGGCAGGCGTGGACCTGTCTCTGGAGCTTAAAGCTGAGCCAGGAAGGCAACTACTAAACATAGTTACTGAAACATGTGAGCCTTGATGAGATGGGTCAGTTGGGACACAGGCACTCCCGGCAGGACCTGTTTTCAGGGGGAGGGAGTGCCCAGTGTGCCCTGCCTTCCTGTCTGTCCTCTCCTGTAGCAAGTCCCAGGGCAGATTGCCTTAAGGGTAGAGGTAATGAGAGATAGTAGCAAAGCCCCATTCTGATGGAATGTGGCCGCCTGGCTAAGGATGGGCATTTCTAGGGAATCATGTTATGAGATACTGGGGTGTTTGGGAGTGCTGCTAGAGAAAATGAAACACAGCTAATTGAGGCTTAATTAATTAATTAGCATTGTCCTAGGAGGCTTCTCATTCAGCATTCCCTTAGCTCTGCTTCATCAAGAATTGTCAGCAGTGAGCTCCCAAGCTCCCTTCCAAGAAAGAAAATCAGGAGAGGAAGGCAAAAACTGACCTCCAGGATCCAACAGATAGGAAAAAGAGAGATCCCAAGCAGACCAGAGTCCCTTCTCAACCAGACACAGAGCTCCACATTTCATCAGTCAGGGTCAGGACTGTGCAGGGTGGAACTTCATCTCATGAGTTACTTCTGAGTCTAACCCTTTGTGGTCTGTTGCAAAGGTTTTGGCATACCTTAGTTTGAGTAAACAACATACCACACCCATACCGGCCTACACAATGCAGAAATACCACTGATGACACATGGAGATAGGACCCAGGGAAGATCTGTTTTTCTGGAGATGGGCCAGAGAGTGAGTTAGGACATTGACCTGGACAGTGGGCTCTGCCTTTCCCCGACCACAAAGAATCCCCAGCCATCTTGGGGTTAACCCTCGTCAGCATCACTTGACCCTCCCAGGGGTTAGGGGGTCCTAGTACCTTCTACCCCCATCAGCCAAATTCATCATTTTCCTCAAGTGGTCCTTTTAGGATGGTTACAGCTGAAACTCATGACAGTCCCTATGCTCTTGTGTAACATTTCTAGTCTCACTTGTGGAGAGGGACAGCAAAGGAAGGGGTTGGGGATGAGTACATAGGGTCTGCTGCAAAATACCCAACCAGATACAACATCCCAAGCCTCCACATTCCTATCCATCTTGTGATCCCAAGAAACATGAATTTTATCAAAGCAACACCTCATTAGGCAACTGAGTGACCAGAAATGTGGGTATTGGTCTTACATCATAATTTTATTGATGGTTGAATTTTACCAACTGCAGCTATGGTGAAGAAGGTCAGTGGTCAGGAATGCTGGGTTCCATGGCCACCAGCTGAAGACTAAAGTGTTAAGTATCCTGAAATTGCTTTAACAGTCTTATGCCATAGTATCCTCTCTGGGAAATGAGAACTATAATTTCCTTCCTCACACCCCTACTATGTTTTAAAGTTAAATCAGGTAAGTGTGAACATATTCTAGTGTTATTCAGGGTGCCTGGGGACTCAGTCAATTAAGCATCTGACTCCTGGTTTTGGCTCACGTCATGATCTCAAAATTCATGAGTTCAAGCCCCACGTCGGGCTCTATGCTGAAATGGTGAAGCCTGCTTGGGAGTTCTCTCTCCCTTTCTCTGTACCTCCCTGGCTTGCTCACTCTCTCAAAAAAATAAATAAATAAAAATTTTAAAAAAGGAAATTCAATGTTTTCCAAATAAAATAAACTATCATCTATGGGTAGAAAACAGGGTGCTGAGGCTGTAATATCTACTCTATCCCTCACATCCTGGTTCCCAAGACGCTGGACCCCACATTGGTGGTGGAGTACTGCCAGCCATGGGTATTCCTGGGGACACTTTTCTTTTTTTAAGCTTTAACTGCCTTGCAGTCTGGGGGAGCAATACCTCCCTATTTCTTCTTTGCCAGTTATAGAACAGCTGCATCACACCTGGGAGTACACCCAGTTACCCCTTGGCAAGTCCTCCCTGTCTGTTGTCAGCTAAGTTCAAAGTTGGAAAGGCACCAGAGGTGAACACTACAGTCACTTCATTTGCTCTGACTTGCTCATCTTGACTTCCTTTTTTCCTCTCTCTTTTCTCTCCAACAGACGAACAAAGCCGTGGCCAAGGGCGACTTCCACCAGGCCAGCACTAGCTCCCGGCGGGCCCTGTTCCTGGCTGTGCTATCCATCACGATTGGAACTGGTATCTACGTGGGCGTGGCTGTGGCCCTCATCGCCTACCTCTCCAAGAACAACCACCTATGAGCTTCCTCCAGGCACATAGGAGAAGAACCTGGGGCCAGTTGTGTGCAGATGCACAGAAGGCAGGGCTGGCAAGGGGAGGACACACAGACACACCTTTGTGATGCTGTACACTATAAATTATTGCCAAACGACTCCATAAAGCCCTGGGATTTTCTACCCATGGGTTTCTTTTGTTTTTACCCTTTAATTTCATTTTCACAGCACTGTGTAGAGCACGAGGCACATGGGCACTGCTGACCCTTCCAAAGGGAAGCTCCAAAGATCCTGACCCTCAAGGCCGTCTCTGGATGGATTCTGGTGGATTCATGACAGTGCAGCTCTCTCTGCAGCCTGCCAGTGCCTGGAATGCCATAGCATTAGCAATACACAAACAATTCAAATGTGTTTATTTTTTATGGAATATGGTGCAATAGGCAGAGGGCAGAGGACTCGTCACTTCTGTCTGTGGCCCTGCTTCACTCCTCCGTCATTTTCCCTGTCCATGATCCTTCCCTGCAGGAAGAAAATGGGGCTGGCAGGAAGAGAGACAGAACTGCTGGCAGTCCTCCCAGCTGCCACTGGTCTTCAGATGGGTCCAGCCCTAAAAATGCAAGTCCAGAATCACATGGGGTCTGTCTCCAGGCCCAGTGGACACTCCCTCCATGCTGCCCCCAGCCTAGGAACATTGGGCCTCCTTTGGATATGTCCAAATTCAGCAGCCACCACGCAGCAATATGCAGTCTTGGGGCCTCGTTGATCTAGGGTGGGGGGCAGGCCACAGTCCCTCCCAAGACCCCTCCCAGAAAGACCCTGAAGTTTGCTCCAGGAACTGTAGGCAAAGGAGCTGTGGATACCATCTCAGCATAAAGATGCCTGTGTTGACACTCACCCTGGTGATGAGCAGTGACACCATTGATCTTTAAAAGGAAATGAACCTTCCCTGTCGACTAAATGAATAGCTATTTTCTTGTCATTTTTTTAAGTGCAACTACTGCTTCATGCTGCTTAAGTTATCCGATGAATGCTGAGAAATAAGTAATCAGACATTTTAATACCATTTCACTGCTGTTTTACGAGTGTTCATTATTTAACAAAAATTATCTTTTAGCTTTTTTGCTTATGACTTTTTTTTCTGATGAATATCAATTCTTGGGTTTCATTTCTACTTTTCACTTGTTTTAAATAACCACAGAGTGACCAAAGACTTAGCTGGTGGAAAAGTGGGAGTGTCTCCTAAGATAAGGGTCACAATAGCCCCGGCTGCTTACACTTTTACTTTGAATACCATTAATATTATCATCCTAATAATAATATTAGGGGACACAGGGGCCATCTCTCTAGGACAGTAGTTCCTTCCACAGCACTTACAAAATACCTGCTGCCTGGGTCCCAGCCCCAGAAATTCTGATGTCGTTGAGCAGGGCCACAGCCTGGTAATGCCAGTGTCCAGCACAAGTTAGGAACCACTGTCCTGGAATAAGGACTTGGGTTTGATCTCCTTCACCTACCCCTTTCCCCCTTGAACTTAAATGCTTAATATTCTGAAAATTTGTAGCACTGCCTTCCTGGATCAAATCCAAGATCCATCTAGAATTTGTCCTTAGCAGATGCTCCAAAAACATATTCTAAGACCCTAACCTGAAGAAGAATATATGAAAGAAGCCCAAACATCCCTGTAAGAGTCAGAATAACCTGGTGATAGAGTGCATGGATTGGGATCAAACCAGCTGTGTGATCCATATGGGTGCATGTCTCTGAACCTCATCTCTAAGAGATGACAGTTAAGGCCCACTTCTGAGGACTTCTGGGGAATGCACGGGCACAGAGTCCAATGCCTGGCCCGGGTTGGTGTGCTGGACATGGGATGGCTGTGGTCACTCTCAGTGTCCTGGATAGCCCATCCCACAACTTGTTCATGCCCTTCCATTTTTTCTGCCCAGTACCTCAGGGTTTATTCATCATGAGCCATTGTGTGAAATGATCTTTTTACTTGTGCTAAATTAGCCCATTTTAAGTTCAAGAGGTGCTCAAAGTTCCATATCTTTGGATTTAGTTAAGAAGTAGAATCTACTCCCTATGTCCTCCCCACTGTCTCCACTGCCACCAATATGCCAGCCCCTTAGTGCCCAGGTGCTCTGTCTCCTGCTAGACCACCTTCCCATCTTCTCTCAGCCCCTGTCTTTCCACATGGAAAAGCTTCAGGTTAAAGGGATTCAGGCCTCTCTGTGGTTTCTCAAGCTCTGCCAAGAATTTCCCAAGGACCAGCACAAGAGCATATGGTGCAGAGGGCCCTATGGGTGTTAGGGTCAGGGCCAAACCATTCAGAGGACAACTAATAAGGCATGTGTGGCCTTGAAGCTCATATGACAAGTAGACCCAGTGTGGCCCCATCCTATGACTGGCTTGGCCTTGCTATCAGAGGAAGTGGTTGAATGTGATCTTCAGTAGCTGTGTTAGTGACTGCTGCACAACACAATAGTCTTCTAGGCATGTCTGTGGCCCATATGCCTTTCTAGACCTTAATTTTTCTAGTTGGTGCAGCCACAGATGAGGCACTATGCTCTGTAGGTCCTGCCCTGGGCACTGGACCCACAATATCTCATGCAGTCCCAAGAACCCCGGCAGGCAGGTGACAGAACTGAGGTTCCGAGAAGGTAACTCCCCCAGCACCACATTAAGTGGCAGCTGTAGAGTAAGGATGGGAACCACAGTCTGGTGCCACAACCCCCAGACAACAGGTAAAACCTGCTACCTCTCCCCTGACTGCAAAGTTCCCCAGTCCACAGCAACTCATTTCATTCCTGTAAAAACTCTTTATTACAAGCATTTTGTTGACAGAGACCTGGAGTGTGTAAGTAATTTTCCTAAAATCATGCACCAGGGAAACAGAAAATTAAGATGAAACCCCCACCATCATATACTAAGCCTGTTCAGCTTCCTCTTATAAACCATGCTGCCTTGGCTGTAGGTCTACAAAGCAAGAAAAATTGCATCGATGCCTAGATCACATTTTGGGGGGCAAGACTCTTAGGAATTTAAAAGGTATTTTGGTTTGTGTTTCACAACGTGTCTTTACCAGCAGGTGATGGGAACAAGTTGGGGGAAGGTTGGAGGCCTGAGGCGACTTTTGTGGCACTGGTGGTTAGGGCAGGGCCTAATCCTCTACACATCTCCATCCTGCATCCTTAGAGATGTCCCTGCCTACCTATCTCCATCTCCCTCAAGCTCTTCTCTGCCTCTGCTTCACTAGGCATCCCTGCCCATGTCCCCTATTCACCAAGGATTGCCACTTCACCAGGTGTCCCCAAGTTGACCAGCCATCTTGTCCTCACCTGGTTTCTCCACATCACCAGGTAGTCTAGCTACAGTGGCTCCTGGGGAGACCATGGTGAGAGAGGTTGCACCTGTCCATCACTGTGCCCTCAGCAGCTGCCCAAGATGCCACAGTCAAGCCACAGAGCTAACTAGGAACAGGACTCCACTGGAAACAGGACCAACCTCTCCAAAAGCTGAGACAGGACATTCTTCAGGCCTAGCCAGTCACTCTGTACCTCCCAAGATGCTAGAGGAAATCCCATCCAGAGAAGCCTCTGGGTTTAAAATGCATCAATGGGAGAGTCTGTCCATTTGCCAAGAATTTCTGTTGCTCCAGTATATGAATGTCAAATGGTTATGTCAGCTGATTCCATGGCCAAAGCTGCTTTTCAGAGGCCCTGGCCTGAGTTTCAAAGCCTTGTCTTTGAGGTTTTATTGGGTCTCTTAGAGGCCCCTTGTGGACAGGCTTGAGCACCAACTCTTACGAGGACAATTTTATGCACCTGAAAGTTCACTTGTATTTGTTGTCATGGGTGTTGACATCTGTTGACCCATTTTCCCAATAAACCATTAAGTGTAAAATTCACACCCTGAGCTGAGGTTTCCCACTTGTAAAATGCAGCTGTCCCAGCTCTTATCTGCAGGACACATTCCCACCTGTTCTACTGTTGAAGTTGGGAGCTTCAGACAGACCCAGTGGTAGGAGGCTGTGGCTGCGATGTCCCCCATGACCCCTTGAAAGCCCTTCTTCAGGATGAGCTGAGCTTCCCAAGAAGTGATTACCTCACTCCCAAGAGGTTCTAATCCAAAGATTCTACTAAACCTAGCAAAGCAGTGGTGGACGCCAAGCCTGCAGATGCTTGGGGCCAGCACACTGCTGGCTCCCTTCCAGATAAACATATAAAACGAGTAATGAATTTGTTGTCTTGCTGATCCCCTAAGAATGAGGTCAGAGCTCCACATACATGGGCAAGGAAGGAAGGGGCAGGAGCTGGCAGCCCCATGTTTAGGGCACAGCAGGCTTCTGTGGACCAGCAGCTGCCCTGTGCTGCAAGGATGACAGGTGTGGCATGGCCCACTGCAGCCTCTAAACAGACTCCAGGGAGATGAGAAGAGTAAGTTCAGTGGGTCCACACAGCAGGACATGGTGACCACTGGGAGTGAAATGTCACACAGGTCTCGGTAGTAGAGAACACGTCTTAAGTAATTCACAGGGCAGGGAAAGACCCTCAGGGGCTCAAAAGATTTAATCAAACCCACCAGGAAGAAAAGACAGTGGGCTGACTGAGGTGGCGTCTCTGGGGTGATAGAGAAGAATGTGGGTGCTTCCAGGGAGAAGCATCAGGCTTTCCAAACCTAGACAGTGCTGAGAGGAGCAAGGCATGGTCTGACACATGGTCTCACCTTTTCTGCCTCCACTGAATTCAGTAACAGGGTTGCGATTGCTCTGGCCTTTGGGCCATGTTCCTTACTGCTGCTTCACCAGGCCCTGCTATGTAGATCCAGGATACAGGCATCAAGATGACTGTTCTTTTAGCTGAGTACTGCCATCAGTTCCCTCTGTTGCCCAGATGTCCTTTCTTCTAGCACACAATGAGTTCGGTTTACCCAGGCCAGTGAGATAGGTTCACTTGTCTTAATTCAGCCTTCAACCATGTGCCCGACTGACTACCAAGACTTAATTGAATGCAAGACACTCTTCTAGGGGCTGGTCAAGTGCCAGGGGGTCATCCACTGCATCCTTATGGCCTCCTGGGAACAGGGGCTGGTGTTTCATGAAATCAGGTCATTTGGGGCCAATCTGAAATATAGGTAGGTTGGCAGGTAGGTAGATAGATGATGGATAGATGATGATGATAGATTGATATAGATAGATAGATAGACAGATAGATAATAGATAGAGAGATGATAGACAGATAGATGATAGATAGATATAGATAAAATTTCTCTACATCTACAAGAGAGAGAAGACTCAGGACATCACAGGGCTGCACCACATACAGCTCTCCATTCTCTTGGGCCTTTGGCTATGTCACCTGATCCAGCTCATGACTCAGCTGAAAAACAGTGATTTGCATCTGTTGTCAGTCTACACTAGAGAATCTGTATTTAGATTCAAACAACTTTATTAAGATAATCAAGATTTGTAGATAGGACAAGATGGGAAATAGCATTCTTCTAAATCAGCTCATGTCTTCATTCCCTGGATATGGTCCCAGCACATTTTTTAAATATACATTTTCTACTTGGCATGGTACATGATGTATCCCTGGTAAGTAGGAAGAGCCGCTAAAGTCAACTAGTGCTGAGAGGCTGGATTAGGGAGGACTGATGAAGAGCTGTACAATCTCCCCATTGGGCACCTTGAGGCGGGTCTTTCATTTATTCTCTCAAGAGTTCCTTGGGTAATTAGAAGCAAGAGATGATCACTTTCCAGTGACTGTGCATGATTAGAAACATAAATCAGACCACTCCAGTATCCCTCACCCTTCATTTTTGTCCCTGATGGAGTTAAGTGTGGAGGACCCCAGATGATGCCCCCTCATTATCATTCCTAAATTGATCCAGTTGTTCAAGCAACCCAAACCAACTCTCCATCTGGCACCTTGTGGATTCTCAAAGAATAGGTCTTTACAAAATAACATGAACCTCAAATTTGAAGTGAGTGTTGCAGATGGACCCAGCTTCATATTCACAGCAGTGCTGTGCCAGGCCTTATATGATGAGGAAACCGAACTCAGGAAGACCATTTAGGGAAGTAGGGACAGCAGTGGGTGAGGCCAGAGGCATATAGGCT